AGGCGGGGGGGAGTGGAGGGATTATAGAACAAAAGAGAGCGGGCCATTAAAGAGGGTGGAGCAGGTGGTAGTTTTGGCTCCCCTTGGACATCTTTGATATGTTTTATTGGATGAGGAGGAAGGATGCAGAGAGAAAGGGGAGGTAAAAATGTCAAGCATTAGCTCTCAGCAACCTTCAAAGACTGACATGATGTGACAAGAAAACCAACTTTGCAAAGAATGTGATTCATGATAAACATGAAAGCCCAGGGGGTAAGAAAGAAGTGGCAGAGTGCACATGTATAATTTGAGTCCTGGACCCGGCAGCTTAAACTCACGCCTGGCATGTGTGCATGCGTGTCCAAGATCCCGAGAGGAGAATGGAGGAGAAGGGATTGCAGCGTGGCCATCCGCCCTGTAGGGGGAGGGGAGGATTTCTCACTTTCTGTCTCTTTCTGGCAAGCGCAGGCCTATAGCAAAAACCTCTCCAAAATAAAAACAAAAACAAACAAACTAACTTGCTAGCAGCCTCCCTGGTGGTTTAGTGGTTAGGATTTGGCACTCTTACTGCCAAAATACTGGAATGTAAATAAGAATGAATCAGACAGGACATGGAATAGTCTATGGCAAATTGAGTCTGTATGCATCAAGTACAAAGGCTGACAGCAGTTTGAGTCTAGACCTGGCAGCTTGCTTCTTCTCTTTTTTTTTTTTCATGTGCTTGCTAGCCATTTGTATATCTCTTTGGAGAAATGTCTTTTCATCTATTCATCTCCTTTACCCATTTTTGGGTTGGGATGTTTATTTTCTTGTTTTGAAGTGTAGGAGTTCTTTATATATTATGAAAATTAATTTTTTGTAGATATGTTTTGTAAATAGTTTCTGCCATTCTGTAGGTTGTCTTTTTGCTTTCTTGAAACTGTCCTTTGTTGCACAAAAGTTCTTTATTTTGATGAAGCCCAATTACCTATTTTAAAATTTTATTTCGTGTGCTTTTGGTGTCCTAGCAAATACTAATTTTTAAAGGTCCAAGTAAAACCTTAATTTCTACTTCTAATGTTTTGTTTGCTTTTTTTTTGGAGAAATTTTTGCTATAGGATGTGTGCTCTCCAGAAAGACAGAGAGACAAAAAATGAGAAATCACCCCTCAGGGGGATAGCCATGCCACAATCCCTTCTTCTGCATTCTCTTGGGATCTTGGGCACGCATGCACATGTGCCCAGTGTGAGTTTAAACCACTGGATCTGGGACTTTAACTGCAGTCAACTACATGGGAGTTCAGTGACATAGCTATTACACCAACTGCTGGTCCCAACAAATAATTCTTTTTAAAAAAAAGTTCTCCTAGTCGTTAGGCCATACCTACAAATGATTTCAGCTGTATACATGGACAAGTGTAGACTGAAATGCTAGGTACACACATTGATTTTGTGTATGACTTTTCATTGTTAAACTATGAAATTAAAACTCTAACTGGCATCAGATGGAAAAAACAATCTGTAAAAAAGTGTTAGTTTGTGTAGTGATTTGTATTAAGTGGGACTTGTGCTGCCTCTGCATTTAATCTATCGCCTCACCTGTCACTTGAAGATGGCATAATATATCATTTAATCTGCGGTATCAGTGATAGAACTGACTCTTCTCTAAAGGAAGTGTTTATCATAATATGCTGCTTCTTGAGGGCTTGCGCTTTTAGAATTACACTCTCTTCTACTGTGTCATCTTTAAAAATATACATATAAAAATCAGTTCGGGGGGCAGCAGTTGTCATAATGGCTATGTCACTGGACTCCTACGTAGTCTACCGTGGGCCAAGTCCCAGACCCAGTGGCTTAAACTCACACCTGGGCACATGTGCGTGCGTGCCCAAGATCCCAGGAGGAGAATGGAGGAGAATGGAAAAGGGATTGTGGTGTCTCTCTGTCTCTCAGTCTTTCTGGCAAGCGCATGCACCCTATAACAAAAACTTCTCCCCCCAAAAAATCAGTTCTGGGTACATCTTTTTTTTTCTTTCTTTCTTTCTTTTTTTTTTTTTTTCCCTCTCTTCTCTTTGAACCATGATAATCCCCTGAGTAGTGACTTCTGGAGCTGGTAACTTAAAAATTATAAAGTGAAGACACTTTTACATGGAGAAGAAATCTGCATGTATGCTATAGGAAGGTGTTAGAATGTGTTACAGGCTTACTTTAAATCATTTGACTGATGCTCCAAAGTAACTGTAATTTAATGTTGGTGGTAGAGCGGATTATGAATAGTGTTAATTGTATGTTTAAAAGTCACCACATGTCCACATGTTTATATTGAATAACAGAATTTATGCAATTTCGCGCCCTATAGCAAAAAAAAAACTCTCAAAAAAAATTTTAAAAACTCATCTTTTTTAAAAAAATCAAAATAGGTTTAGTGAATCTTTATTTCTGGACTTTTAGGTTTATTCCCTAAAATTTTGGCTTTACAGTAACGCTTTGATGAACATCTATATAGATACATCTTTGTATATATCCCTAGATACTTCCTCAGGAAAATTTTTAGAATTCAAATTACTTTGCCATGCCACATATCAAATGGATTGAAGAATTTGATGCAAAAATGGAAACTATTAAAAAGTTAAAAGGGGGCTGGCAGGTGGCATGGTGGTTAAAGATGCTGGATTCCCACATGGCTAACTGTGGTTTGAGTCCCAGACCTCGCAACTTGCTTTCTCAGTTTCCCTTTCTCTTTCTCTCTTGGTCTGGTCAAATTAAAAGGTAATAATAACAAATGGAATTAAACAAATAATTATTTTTTAAAAATTTAAATAATCTACTACTGAATTATTAGCTTAGTTTAGGGGCTAAAGAAGACTTTTGTGGGACCAGCAGTTAGTGTAATGGCTATGTCGCTGGACTCCCATGTAGTCAACCATGGTTTGTGTCCCGGACCCAGTGGCTTAAAATTCACGCTGGGTGCGTGTGCCTGCATGCCCAAGATCCCGAGAGGAAAATGGAGCGTGTGCCTGCATGCCCAAGATCCCGAGAGGAAAATGGAGGAGAAGGGATTGCCGCTTGGCCATCCCCCTTGTGGGGTGATTTCTCGCTTTCTGCCTCTCTGTCTCTCTCTGTCTGTTGAGTGCACGCGCCCTGTAAAGAAAACCTCTCCCCCCCAAAAAAAAGAATAACATTATTAATTGACTTATATAATTCGGTAATACTCATTACATGGTAAAATTTATTATATAACTCCACACAGCAATTTGGCTATATGTACCCAAAGCTTAAAAATGTGCTTTTTGGAGAGGTTTTGCTATATAGGGCACGTGCGCACAGAGATAAAGAGACAGAAAGCAAGAAATCACCCCCCAGGGGGCTGGCCAGGCCTCAATCCCTTCTCCTCCATTCTTCTCTCAGGATCTTGGGCACACACGCACACGGACCCGGCATGAATTTAAGCCACCAAGTCTGGGACTCGAACTGCGGTTGACTACATGGGAGTCCAGCGACATAGCCATTACACCATCTGCTGGTCCCAAAAGGTGCATATATTTTTCATGAAACTTTTATCTTTACATGTTCTCCTAAGGAAATCTCTCAAGTGGGTAACAATGATTGTACAAAGATGACCCCCATGATACATCCTTAATTTGTCCACAGATTTCAAAGGTTCCCTTTAAACGATGAGAAAAGAGACTATAATTAACTTTCTTCAAACCTGTGAAACAAGCAACTACCATAGAATTTTCAACAGGAGAAATCCTGGAAGACGTCTCATCCTTTTCCTACGTAGGCTTTGTGGTCCCAATTTCTCTCAGCACGAATCTCAAAATGAGAAACAGCAGTTGACAATATAGTCCACTTAGGAAGTAGACGAGAGACAGTGCTTGTGTGCGTTGGTGGTATAGTGGTGAGCATAGCTGCCTTCCAAGCAGTTGACCCGGGTTCGATTCCCGGCCAACGCAATGTTACTTTTGCGGTTTTTCCTCTCTCTCATTTTTTAGCAGTCCAGTGTGACCGGTGTTCTTTACTTGAATTGATCCGCTGGCGTCGTACGAGTATACAATCAAGCTTTTCAGTGTTTTTAGAGAAGCGCTTGAAATAGAGGCTGGTTTGATTTATTTTTCAGAATCTATGGTGGTGTCTGATATACTGAATCAGAATAAGGAAGTCGGCACAGGCCTCCGCATTTCCGGAGAGACAGCGTGGTGTTGCTTAGAACGGTGAACAGCACAAGAAAAAAATACCAAGACGATGCCCTCGCCTCTTCCCGTAGCCCACAAGCTCAGCGACACCAGCTCAGGTTCCACCATCCTGGGTACAGAAACCTCGATTCTAGGGCACAGGCAGGCAATGGAAATAGAGAAATCCTTCGAGGCTGCCTCTTGACCCACTGGGCGAGCCGACACCACCCTTTGGAAGGGGCAGAGAAAAGTGCAGGCGCAAAGGCGACGGTAGTCATAGTCCCAGGCCTGGCAAACGCCACTTTCTCCGCTCAGATCAGGATCCCGCCGCGCTGCCGCCAACCGAGGGGTGATCTGGCGCGGCATTGGGATTATTTGGTCTCCGGACCCGATTCGGATGTCGGAGCTTCGGGATTGCTGGGTGGAAACGTTTGGGATTCTGACAGTTGAAATACAGACGGCAGGAACCAACCAAAAAAAAACAGCTACACGAAACAGACATTTCGGTTACAAAAGCCATTAAATTCACCACGAGCGCGCTGCCTTGCGAGTAGCATGCCGTGATCGTATAGTGGTTAGTACTCTGCGTTGTGGCCGCAGCAACCTCGGTTCGAATCCGAGTCACGGCAAGTGGCCGAAAGCTAGGTGGGCAGCTTTCTTTTTCCTTTCCTTTTTTTTTTTTTCCTTAACTTTTCGCAAGTGACAGAAGCTTGTTACTTCTATATACTTTTGCTCAGGGCAGTGTCGCGGAAATGCACTCAACGAAGTTGATAATTATAATAGTTCCACGTGGTTCAATAAGGCGAACCTAACCAGCGTAGGTAGAGACGCTTTGAGATGGTATGGCGATCCACCAAGGGGGAACCAAGTTTGTAGAATAAGGTTCCTTCGATTTTCACCTGAGCAGAAAGAACACTGCCGGTGGCCCGGGAACTCAGCGCTTGTTCCAGGGGTTTAACGAGGGGAGTGAAAGCTCCCACGAGCGTGTACGCCTTGAGGCTCCAAGTCCTATCCGAGTTTAAACCTCGATGTGCCCTTAACACGTACGTTTCATAGTTTTTGTTTGTTTGTTTGTTTTTAACAAAAAAGTTGGTATATAAAAACAAACTTGGGACTAGAACGCACAAGTGAACAGGACCTACTTTCCCAGTCTCTCACCCACCCCCTCCCCAGCCCCACTCCACCCCACCGCACTGTTTTAGGGAAGACGCTTCTCCGCTTCTCCGCCGAGAAGGAAGCGGGGAGTGCAGTCCCAGGATCTCAGGAGCACGAGTCCCCACCGGTCCTGCTCCCCGCGAGCGGCTGTTTGCACCTCTCATCCACGTCTCCTCACGCTGTTTCGCCTCCTTTTCTGCAGTCGGGGGTCCCAGAAACCGGGTTCTCAGAGTGACCAAACCCAGAAAGAATTTACGGAAACATCGAGGTTTCAGGATTTGATTCCCCCGTTCTCGGCTAGTTGGCCTGGCCCTAGCGGTTCCCAGCAGGCTAAGTCTCAAGTTCCTCAGTGGTAAAAGACTAGCTAAACGCTGTTATTGAATCTACTAAATCCTGGACCCTAAATGGTATATAGGCCAGTCTATACATGGAAGAAGAATTGTATTGGTATAGGAAGAAAGGCTCACCCAGGCGCCCGGCTAGCTCAGTCGGTAGAGCATGAGACTCTTAATCTCAGGGTCGTGGGTTCGAGCCCCACGTTGGGCGACGCTTGAATTTTACTAGGTTCTTTCTATGGCCAGTGTTTTAAACACTAAATAGTTTCAAAAATCGTTACTAATCTATTCAAATTGACTAAATAAATAAACAAACCCAGCGTGAGTTCGACTGTGGAAACCAGGGGTTTGTAATCTACTTCCTAGTTTCTCCGGTTGAAGGTGAAAGGGACTTCGAGGTTCAAGAGAGCTCTTAACTGCAGTGACTCCTACGGAAGGTACTCCCAGATAAGACCTATAAGGGCTCTACATGGGGTTTCCATGAAAATGCTGGTTCCCCTATCACGGGTGGGACATTTTGGATACAGTTTTGAAGGTCCTTCTTAGCTACTTAAAAAGTCCTCCGTTAAGTACTAAGGAGCATCAATCTTTGCTTTATAGGTTTTGAACGTTAATCAGTCGCAAAGGGTTGTAACATAAAAGTCGTTTAGGAAAGTTCCGAAATGAAAAGTAGCAGAGGGCCCTGGAAAAGTAGGTGAGAGGCAGAAGAGAGACAGACGCGGACGCGAGAGAGCCCAGGGAAGAAATGGAGAAGAAATAAAAACGAGGAGGAGTAACCTGGAGGAATGCGTAGAGCAAGAAAGTGGGGAGTTCACAGGTGCGATCCTGTTTGATGGGTACAGGAGGCTGTGCCAGGGCGCTATCCCCATATATTTTGAGTTAGGTATCATCTAATAGAGAAGTTTGTTCCTCCCCAAAGTCTGACTAGTGGCTTCCTTTTGTTGCTACTAAATTACCTTTAAGTGTTGGGGTGGACAGGGTGGATTAAGTTGGTCCTAGGTGAGTAGAAGCCAAGTTTGGCATTAGTCAATTTTTCCACAGAAACATGGACAGTTTGAATTTTTTAAAAAAAAAGTATCTAATTTTATCATTATCATTATTTTTTAACTTGACCAAGGAGAGGCAGAGAGAGAGGGAGAACACAAGAAAGCAAGCCACCAGGTCTTGGCCATGTGGGAGTCGAGCGCCTCTAACCACCACGCTACTTGCCTGCCCCCAGTTTGAGCTTTTTAACTTCTCATACAGACTGTCTGGTCCTCTCCCCAATGATAATTTACCACTACCTTTTAAAATTGTTTTTTAAGTTTGTAAATACGCTTTATTCTCATTGTCATATTCCATCAAACAGCTCCCAAATGACCGATGTACACTAGGCCAGTTATTCTCAAAGTATGGTCCCAGGACAAGCACCTTCAGCACCCAGAAACTTGTGAGAAATGCAAATTCTCCAGACCTCCTGAATCAAAAACTCTAGGGTGGGCCCAACAATCTGTGACTTAACAAGCTCTCCAAGTGATCTGGGTGAATGCTCAAGTTCAGGAACCTTAGGGCTGTCTTCTTCCCTACTAGCCAAAGTATACCATGTTCTTGGATGGAAAGACTCAATATCTTAAAGACAGCATCTGTCCTTTACTTAGGGCCTGACTTTAATGGTTTTCATTAAAATATTTTAAAAAATCAAACTGAACAATATGATTTAAAAGTAAAATGGAAAAATAGTAAGCAGGAATATCCAGGAATTTTTTTTTTTTTTTTAAATAAGGAAGTAGTTGGGGCCTGCAGATGGCATGGTGGTTAAAGGCACTGGACTCCCACCTGGCTGACTGCAGTTCGAGTTCTGGACCTGACAGCTTGCTTTCTCACTTTCTCTCTCTCTGTCTCACTGTATCCCTCTCTGGTCAAATTAAATTAATAAATAAAGTTAAGTTAAATAAAATAATTCTTAAAAAAAAAAAAAAAAAAAAAAAAAGAGGGGGGAGCACGAATTATGGGAAAGGTCAAAAGAGCAAATAAACCCTAATCTGCC